GATACTAATCAATTTATGAAGGAAAACTATTTCTAACTACTCTGAAAACTTAATTTTTAGCATAATGCCTCAAAACTTCCTTACAGAAGGAATAAATAAATAAGCAAACAAAAACAACCCCAGAGGCAGCTGGTCAGAAGCAAATTATTCACCAATATCTAGAAGAACATTGTCTTAAAATTGTCAAATAAAATGTGCTTACTACTTAGAGCCTGTGTTTATTGCCAAGACATTGTCCAGGGGAGGATGCTAGGGTGCCGTGCTCCAGGGCAGATAGGGCAACCTGCAAATTCCCTGTCGTGGACCCTGAGCCCATGGTATTGTATTTGTATCACAAAGGTACCTTCATTGGTTAACTTCTAAGACTTCTGAATATACATATTTCTTATAGCTTGACTACTGCAAGGAGAAAAATGTGTTGACTAGAATATGCATAGGAAAGTCACCTTTGTAGTTCTTTATACATTAAACACACAATCATACAGCTGTTTTACATCTGTTTCTGGATTTTTTTTTTTTTAACACTCTCATACACCTTCTCTGGGCCTGAGGAAATTCTTCTGAGGCTGAAGGCCGAACCAAGACCACTACATTCATCAAGGTGAAAGAGTCCTTGAAACCTTTCAGAGACCGCATATTGTCTTTCCCTTCTGGCTGGCGTTTCTACTTGTCTTTTCTTTTATATATATATAATTTTTTATTAATTTATTTTTGTTATAAATGTTTCTCCTTTTTTCCCCCATTGAAATAAATCTCGTTTTTGCCCATTTACCATGTGTTCTAAAAATATTTTTAAATGAGCCCTGGCTGGTTTGGCTCAGTGGTTAGAGTGTCGGTCTGCAGTCCAGAGAGACCCGGGTTCGGTACCCATTAAGGGCACGTACCTCGGTTGCAATTTGTCCCCAGCCTTGGTTGGTCATGCAGGTGAGAGCCACTTGATGTGTCCCTTTCATGTCAATGTTTCTCTCTCTCTCTGTTCCTCTCTCTCCCTTCCACTCTATCTGAACAAAAAATGGAAAAATGTCCTCGGGTAAGGATAAAAAAAAAAAAATTGTAAATGAATATTTCAAAGTTAGTTTCCGTTTTCATTTTTACTGTTACTCTGATTAGTATATTAAAAAGAACACATAAACTTCTGTTTATTTTTAGACACAATCAGATCATATAATTGTGCTTAACAGTAAAAGAGAATGAAATATTTATTAAGTACAATAAAATAAGGAATTAGAGAAAAGGGGGAGGGGAGTAGGAAGAGATAAACCAAAGAAGTTACATGGATATATGCACAACCATATGATATAGAAAACAGTGTGGTAAAAGCCATAGAAGGCGTGTGGGGAGGAGGGTGTAAATGGGGGGGGGGGCGGCATCTGTAATAAAAAATTAACTAATTAATTAAATAAAGTTATTGTTAGCTATTCTAAAACTAATATTCACTTTCTTCCAATTCTCACACTTACTTATATGTATATTTTAAAATTATTAAATAATTTTGTAGATAAGAAATTTGAGTTTTTTATCTATTTGAAGGTTTTTTGGGGTGAGGAAGGTCAGATGTGGAAATTAGTGGTAATAGAGTGAAATCTTTAATTTCAAATGCTTTTTACTGTTTTCATTGGTGTCTTTTAGTCACTACTTTAAGTCAGCGCCAATTTTTATGTAACACTGCCCAACCCATGAGTGACTGAGAAAAGGAAATTGTGCATTTGGTCACAAAATATTAATATAGAGTTCTAAAACAGACAGTACAGTCTGTTTATAATTTGTCTACAAGCAAGCTGATTTTACATAAATGGCTTTTTTACAAATTTGAAATGTGAATATATTTTATTTTTTCCCAGTGAGTACACAATACACAATTCTTTGACAATACTATTAATCAATGTTACGCCAATTTCTTTTTTGATCTAACAACATCAAATGAAACACATTAAAATTTTGGATGCTGTTTGGTGACTTAAACAAACTATAGTTAAAAAAGAATCCATCTATAAAACAAAGTATAAAAAAGTCTACCCACGGCCACAAAATCCCTTATCTTGCAACACTTTAAAGTCACAATAAATGCTTTTGAAAATCATGAGATAAGATAACTTAGTAAATTGAACTTCATTTAAAAATGAATGGTGTTTCATTTGAAATACACATTATAGAGAAGCAAAATAAAAGTAACTTCACCTCTAAGGTAATATGGAAAGACATGTTGCATTACACCAATTATTGTCATGGAATTCTATAAATACAATATACAGAAGCAGATGAACAAATTCGTGAATGTCATGGTTCTGCATATTTTTAATACTGATACACAATCACTTTCCAGTGGAGAAGATAAACCAGTTTAGAGTTCATTGGTATTGTTATCATTATGTTGTCATTGAACAATACACAAATTAGTTCAATAGAAATTTGGAGGTGTTCTATCAAGCTCATGCAAACTTTCAACTCAAACCCCATTGAAAATATATTTAAATACCTAGAGCATTAAACTATGACATAAAAAAAAAACAATCTTTTTTGTTACCTAAAGCAAGTAAACTTACAATGTTTTTTCTTCCTTTGGTTGTAGGATACCTTAAATGTTGATCTTGATTTTTCTATATTTTCCCTTGAACAAGATTCAAATCCTGTGAAGGAGTCAATTGTTTTCATGTTCTCGTACTCTTCCATTTCACTTTGAATATTGCATGCAGAAAATTTGGAGAAGGGATAGCTCGACTCTACCTGCGTGCACTGAGGCATACCTGAGTGGGCACGGACTGGGAGATTTCCCCATTGGAGACACTGCATGTTATGAAGGGAGCTGTGTTTTGGGGTGTGGCGCACAGCAGTGCTGTCTGAGTGCAGGTAAGATACGTTCTTCCCACCCACCTCTCCTCCTGACAGCGTACACGGGCCTGTCTCTGTGTAGACTGCAGAAGAGTGAGCTCAGTGAATTTCTAACCTGCCATTCAATTGGCCACAAAATGAAAAATCATGGTATTTCTCATATGTGTTTATATTTTTAATGACATTTTGACATAAGGATTAGAAGCATTTTACCTGTGGCAAGCTGCCAAAAACTTGATTTTTTGGTAGTGTTCCTGAATTCATGTGGATAGCCACATCTTTTTAACATGCTCCATATCTATTTGAGGATGGTATTTTGTGGGCAACATTTGACCACTAGATTTAACAGGGAATGTGGACTAGTCTAAAAGAACATTCCAAGAAAGCCTACGGTCTGCACTGACATACTCTAACCATAACAGTTGATTCTATGCCCTGGGGACAGTTAGGAAAGCATGAGGCATGGCCAGCATTATTCCAGAAGTCACCTGCATACACAAACTCGGTTTTTGAGGTCATGGTTTATTAGTCACATACACCTGCCAGTCACCAGGGTCAAATGCTATGTTTAATATGTCTAAGGAACAGAAGTTTTAGACTAAATTGGGTTATAGAGGAATATAAAGGGGAAATACAAATGAACAAAACTTTGTTTTTAAATACAAAGAGGTGAAACAAGGAACTGCATAAATAAACATGTAAATCCCGCACATCCTACAGCTGTAAATAAGTTTCTCCGTAGAGAAACTACTCATCTTCCCGGTCTCTTTGTCCCAAAGCAGTCAAACTGCATTATAATTCAGACACTTAGTGAGTATTTAGCATGCGTGTCTCAGCTGTTCTCCTCGGTGAAGAATGGAGTATACAGCACAGAGGAGAGTGGGCCACACGGGACGCTGGGTCCCTCTGCCCTTGCCTGTGCCGATGCAGCTTCAGGCCACATGGAGGATGGACACGTTTGACTTGGTCATCACTGAAACAACATGACCTATAACTGGTGACTGAGCCAAAAATGCACAAAGAAGGATTTGTCATTCAAACGGGTCCCGTATTTTAGAATCGATCCTTACTTATCATTACATTGGATATGTTTTAAAGTATCAATTCCTGAACACACCATAGGGAACAGGAGGAAGTGTAACTAGAGAGAGGATTTACAGGAGTGTAGGCAGCGCATGGGAAATGTCAGGAAAGCTGTCTCCTACTTGACTGACTATACACAGACAGCAGCTAACACTTATTTCAAAGTCATTTTCTTTTCGGCTATACGTGACTGCTGCTCAGGAACTTGTTCTCAGCGTCGTGAAAACAAATGAGGCAGGACACTGTTATTAATGTCCATTTACGAGGTTTGGTTTTATTTAAAAGTGTTATAAACATGCATTTTTCTCCTTTGCAATTTTTCTTCTTAATTTACTCATTCAAAATGGGTCGAACATATTTTAGTTGGTAGCCAATTTCTGAGACTGTACCATGAAATATTTATTCCAATAAATCTACTTACTGTGAACTGAACATACTCTGAGCACTGCTTGTTAAGCACTTACAATTTGGCTATACATTTGGTGGCATAAACTTCACTTCTTCATCAAATGAAACGCAAAGTTGCATATCGACTGCATTATTTCTAAAAGTCATGAATCGCAGTGATGAGCTCTATCCTCTAGTGTGTACTGTACATGTATTAGAAAGATGAAACAAGATATTGCAATAGAGTTTTTGTGTTTCGAAGCAGCCTGAGTATGTCCTAATAATAAATCGCCTCTTTAACTATTTGCTGGATAGTCTAGAGTTCATTTGGTTTGTTTCCTTGGGGAACATTGTATTATATTCTGACTTAATGAGTTGGAGAGATTAATTACGGTAATTCAGAAAATGCTTTCTTTCTTTTTTTCTCTTTTTTAAACTGTAATATAAATACAGCTCTTGTGAAACGCCTTAATTTCCTTTTGCTTGTTGGAATTCTCAGATGGTCAGTTACAATGACAGGTAAAGCTGATTCTAAATATAACTTTAATTACCTTATTATTTCTTAAAGCAAGTTAGTACATCTTTGCTACCAGTATATTTTAATGCATATTCAGTCTTAAGACTTAAATTTCCTTCTTTTGACCCACGCTTTTGTCAACAGTAAAAGCCAACTGCCTGCTTGTTTTTAATTGACTTGGTCCCTGATGGTCAGAGAAGACTCCGCCAGCACCGTTGTCCTTCACGTCTTCCTATTTCTATACCCCACCCGAGAGCATCTAACGTGATTGGTTACCACCAGCATCATCCGCCTAGCTTACAGTACAGAAACTCCCTTCACATTCAGTCTTTTTCTTCATGTCACGAGGAGTAGAGATTTGTGCTTATCACCAAATAAAATTGCAGTGCAAAATTTAAACATAAAAGTTACACAATTAAAAGTTAATATATGGCACCACAGCCTATTAATTCACATATAGTACAACAGACCAATAAGAACAGACAATAATATGAACAAAGCTAAAAAGAGTGAGCTTGCATAGCAATGCACAAAAGAAATTATGTACAGAGGAAAACCCTTTGCTTCCTGGAGGAGGGGCTTGTTTTCTTTCTTTTTGTATACTCCTGACAAGAAAGAGTTAAGGTGGGTGGTGTACTTAAGAGAAGAACACAAGTAGAACATCTGTGGGATATGTGTGGCTGTGTGTCTTTACATTGCATTTACAGTTCTTTCAATAGTACATAAATAAAGAAATTGTCCATTGCACTGGTTAGTGTCATCACCTCCATGAGTTCAGACCTGATGGTCCTTCAGAGCAGCTTTGCATGTCTCCTCTCAGTTACTCTATAAAGAGAAAAATACAGCAGAAGTTAAGTTTGCGTTTAAATTTAGTATTCTTTAAAAAGTTTTTTTTTTTAAGCATGTTTTTATTGATTTTTTTAGAGAAAGGAAAGGAACGAGAGAAACATCTGTGTAACATGATCGGCTGCCTCCTGCACGCCCCCTACTGGGGATCAGCTCAAACCCAGGCATGTGCCCTGACCGGGAATAGAACCGGGGCCTCCCAGTCCATGTGATGACGCTCAATGCACTGAGCCACATTGGCTGGGCTAAATTAAGTATTCTTTTATTCTAACTGGCAAACCAAAAACCAAAGCAGACAAATAATAAGTGAAGATGACATCATCAAACAGATTCTGTGAGTTTGTGAATTTAAGAAATTTTACTTAAATGAGAAGGAGGGGAAGAAACACTGTAGAATTTGGATATTTAAAATCCAAGTAGAGCTTTTTTTGCGAATCTATAATTCTTCTAAAATAAAAGTTAAAGAAAACTCCAAGTAGTCTTCAATCAAATTAAAAATCATAGGAATAGCTTAATAATAAAGAGATGAGTAATACAACAATAACTCCCATCCATAAAGAATTTAAAGTTTTGAAAGTGCTTTTACTTTTCACTGTCTCATCTCATCCCCATTTGCCATTGAGCGTAGTAGCAATGGAATTTTTTTAGATAAGAAAAAAGACTGGGGAAGTAGTTCACTTGCTCTTTCTCACACAAGCAGTGAGCAGGTGAGGAGTCTGGAACCCAGGGCTGTCTGTTCCTTTGCAGTGTTTTAAACTGTATTCAAAGAAGCAGTTGAAAATATTCAACAACTATAATTCTGACAATGAATAGCAAAATTGTTAACTATCCTGATGCAATTAACAAGAGCTCAATACTTTTTACTGTGACATACGATAACATTCTCTATTTCTCTATTACCTGGTATTTTATATTTAGAAAACAGATTAGTTATAATAAACACCAATGTCAGCTCCTTATTTAAAATGATAAATTTATTTCTAAGTTATGTTGTAATAATCAAAGCATTATAAATTAACAAAAATCAAAGATCAACTTTTCAATGTTGATTCCCTAAATTAAAAAAAAAAAAAAGAAATTCCTAAGGAGATTCTTTAAAACTACCAGAGAGCTAATGTGTTTCCCTTTAGTGTGCTCGGTTACAAAGGCAAACTACACAGTGGACTATATTTAATCAACTTATAAGTATTAAGACAAGTTGCTTAAATTAAGACAGTTTTTGTATAATAAAAATCAAATTTGAAATAGAGGACATGTTTATTTAACTGACTCCTATAAATAGCAATGGTCTAAGCTATGACCAAACCTGCTCAAATTAATAATTGATTCTCAGAGAAGAGCAAGTTTTCCACTAATGTAAAATTTGTTTATTGTGGCAACATTATTGATGGGGTTCTGGACACTCTAACTGCTGAGCCAAACTGGCAGCCGTGTATGTGTTTTTTTCTGTTAATCCCTGACAGGTTAAACTTCAGATCCAGCCAGAGACCTCAAGAGGATAGAGGAAAACTTTTCCTCCCCTATATTATTACCCCGATATTCTTTCTAGATCACCACAGCCTTATTTAAAAATTATATATTTTTCTTTTTATTGATTTTAGAGAGAGAGAGAAAGGGAGAGGAAGAGAGAGAGAGAAACACTGATGAGAGAGAACATCGACTGGCTGCCTCCTGCATGCCCCCCACTGGGGATCGGGCCCACAACCTGGGCATGTGCCCTGACCAGGCATCGAACCGGCGACCTCTTGGTGCATGGGTCGATGCTCGGCCACTGAACTACACTGGCCGGGAACACCATAGCCTTTTAAATCTCCTGAAGCACTTACATAATTCACCTGTAAACTGTCCTTGACTATTTGAGCCCATATATCCTATGTCAAGAAGGTCGCTGGCATTGCGCTGGTGGCCACCCCTCAGCGCCTCGGCCTTCCTCGGCCCGGTGGAGCCTTTAGAAGAAGCTGTTCCTGACGAGCTGTGGCCGCCGGGGGACGGAAAGCTGGGCTTGCTGTAGGGCACCACGGCCTCCTCTGGAAGCAGAAGCACAGGGGCCGAGTTAAACCGCAGCATGTTGGCCAACAAGCTTAACTTTAAATACTGAGCGCAAGATGAGCTATTTTACCATTGTGCTTTTTAATCTGAGATTTAAAATGTCTCCCAAATTAAAAGAAATTTCCATGCGTAAGCAACATTTTCTACAATAGAAACCAAAGCAGAATTAAATTAAAAGAGATTTTGAAATATGTATACAATATTACATATGATCTGCAACATTTAAAGGTATTATAAGAGATCTGTATGCAATGAACCATATTGTGTAACTAAAGCATTTCTGAGAATAATTTCTGAGTTTAGTGGAGGTTCCAATTTAATATTTCTATTAAGATACAAAAAATATGGTTTTGATTTGAAATTATAGCAACAGTGTGCTCAATTTATATTAAGAATTATATATTAGCTATTAAAATAAATTTCTTAAATTTCCGTTGTTTCTTGAGATAGAAATATATTATTTGAAAATCTGTGTTCTTCCTTAACAGAGAAATAGAAACTCATACATTTTAATAAATAACATATTTATTCTCTTTATGCATCATCTACAAGTAACTCCTGATGTACATAAGTAAACACTTAACACTTTGAAATACCTTTTAGCCCCTGCTTTTTCCCTCCCCTTCCCTCTCTCCTCCCCTTCTTCCTTCTTTCTTCCTTCCCTTTTTCCCTCTCCACTCCCTTTTGTTTTTTTCTTTCTTTCTAGGTATCAATCATTACTGTGGTTAGATGACAAAAAAAAATTCTGACTGAATTCAGCATTTCTTTCCTGAGATAGTCTTTAATGACAAGGATTACATGATTCTTCTCCCATAGTCTTAACGATGAACCTTCTTAAATGTTGCACTAAACCTAGAAGTTAATATTGTTATTTTTTTGCCATTGCATAAACAATATTTCTAAAACCATGAGCACCAAGTTGTGACAAAATATAATTATGGAAAAGCATGGGTAGAGGACATATCTAGAATAGATTCAGTCCAAATGAATCAATGAATATATACGGAAACCCTTTCAAATGTGTGTGTTTGTGCGGGCGTGCATGTGCGTGTGTGTGTTTTAATACTCAAGGAATCCTGACTCGAGAAGAGATATTCCAGAGAATGCATTCTGGAAAAGGCTCAACACAACTCCTCAAAAAAAATCCAACCATGAGCCAGAAATTTATGTTGTGATATTTCCAGGAAGCTTGCTTTGTAAACAAGAACATTCCCCCATTTAATTGTTAACAATTAACTAAATTTAATCCATTGGAGAAAATGTAGGTAAGCCCAGTTTAACGTTTTCTAACATGAGGATTCTGTGATGGGGCATTTATTTCTAACTTTGTTACTAATTTCAATTAATTCAGCAATTTGACTGAATTGAGTTCTCCTTTCAAAATGACTAGTTGCTTCAGTCAAAATGAACAAATTGGTCGAGGGTAATGTTTTAACTGACACTAAAGATTAAATTTTGCGGTCTTTAAAGTACTCAATATAAGCATTAAAAGCAAAATAATAATAATAATAATGATAATAATCAAATAGTCTCCTGAGTCCTGCAGGTGGAGCGGAGGTCTCTGGGCTCAGCGGTCCTCTGCAGAGGTTAACTTGAGGAGCAGTCCCCAGGGGGTCAGCCTTAGGGACGTGCGGTGCGCTCTGCTGCGGAGGAAGTCCAACTTCAGCTAGTGAGTCAAGGCAAATGCATTTCAGAAGCCCTTAAACAATGGCCATTTCTAAAATACCTGGTAGAAAAAAAAATGGTAACAGTCCACACGTTGTTGGGACTGTGCAGAACACACCTGGTCCAGCACCTTGTTTGTGGAGGGCTTTCCGTGTGTCTTCCTGGCGTTCTGTGGAGTTAATCCACTCCTGGGTTTGGCGCTGCCACTCCAGGGACGTTCTAGCTGGACAATCCAGTGAGCTCTTTGTGTCTTCTAAGGTGGATGCTTGTTGTCTCTCCAGAGAGCTTCCTTTTCTCTCTGTTGAGTTTTCCATGTTACCAGCATGCTGGCTCGGGCCTATTTGCTGCCTTACACCCTGACCTGGAGGGGGGTCTGGTGGTGGTGGAAGATCTAAAAATTTTGAATAATGTTTAGAATGGACTAAAATTTAATAAAAAATACAGGTTTTAGTTCAAGTTGAAGAAAAGCACCCCGCTCTCCTAAAAGTATAACTCATGCACAAGATATATTTGTGGGGAGGGGGGTAAGGCCAGTTGTTTACATCCAAATGCATATTATTGATCTCTTTGCTATCTTTTGATCATAGTGTCTTCGAAATAAAATTGACTGATTTTATTCAACTCTTGTATGTGGAAAATGTTTTCAGTTGCACATTGAGGCTAATATCTAGGGTGTAAAGGGCAGTTGATGATTTCTCTACCCTCACTCCCCAAAGTAGAAATAACTATGACACAGAAATTCTAGCAGCTACGTTAATAAAAGGCTCTGGGAAGAATAAAAGTTATCTGCCAATCTCCGTAGGAAATGTTGCCCTTGGGAAATGAAGAACTATATGCCGTATCATGTGCAACATATCACTGCCTCTACCCATGTATTCGGCACATTTAGCAACAAAGGGTTAAGCTAACATTTAATGAAATGCAATTAACATTCTGCCTGACAACCAATGCTAGCTGTTCGTTTCATGAGTTAGCTAATGAGTTACAACTAATATATTATACACTACAATGTATTAATTTTAATAGGTAATAAGCAATGTTCAGAACACTATGTTGCTAGAGTAGACACTGTATCACAAAAATCTGAGATGCTGTGGCATAGACAATTTTTCAGAAAAGTTCTCTAAATTAAATATCAGATATAAAAATTAAAAGTTCAAAGACTCAGGTAATTTTTTATTTTCTTTTATTAGCTCTTTAGGTTGTAATTACCTTTATATCTTTAATGCCTTCAATTATGATATCAGAAATTTCTTTCATATTTAAGAAGTAGACTAGTCCTGGTATACTTTGTTGAAGTATTTGAAATCTTCTAAATATTTTAAGTATTGTTTGAATTATTTTCTTCAGTTTTTTTCTGGCATTCCATTAAAAATTCCTTTGCTCATCCTCAGAATATCAGTAATTATAGTATTAGTTCATAAGACCAAATATCCTATACAATATGTATATTTAAGTTATTACAGAGGATATTGTATATAATATAGGTAATTAATTCCCACCCATTTTTGTAATTGTGTACTTGTTTCTAATAATATTGTTTGTAAAATTAAAAGGGGAAAGTATAATTCTTTGTACCAAAGGTAGCTTTCTTTTTTCTTTTTTTTCCAATTTTTATTAATTTATGTTTGTTACAGATGTTTCTCCAAAGATGGCTTTCTTAAGGAAAGCCAAGCTACTCCTTGTAAAGACTTCTTAAAGAAGTGTCATCTTCTCTCTAAAGTGACACTGCCCCTGTCGAGCTGACAGTGATGGCCTCAGCATGTGCTCAGGAAGTGCCCACGTTGGAGCAGTGCTTTGACTTACCATGTGCGTCCTCCTGCTGGATGATGAGTTACTAATTACTGCAGGGGACAGGCTGCACTTGGAATCTTTCTTCCAAAAGGAAGAGCTAATCTAATATTGAGGTATCTGTTTGTTGAATAATCCACCAAAGAGTTTGGTGTTTCCTTTGTATTCAAAACTGACTTCCTTCAGTACGTATTATTATAAATGCAAATTAATTATTTCATTTGCGTTATTGGATTTAAGACTGCCAGTAGGATAGAAATGATTGTAATTTCTTCCAAAATAACATATCTTGTCATTGATTTTTATTCTCCATCAGAGCAGCTTAATTTTTTAAATGGCACAAATGGACTCTGCTTAGGTTAGCTAAAATTCAGATTACTATTTAACTTGAAATTATACAGCTACATAATTAATATCCTTGGAGTGTGTATATCCTAAAAAGAAAGAACACTGCATACACATTAAAATAAACAAATTGGAAAAAAGATGAAATTGAGAATGGCTGTGGAAAAAAATAAAAGTATGTAATCAAATTTATTAATTTATTTCTTTAATTAAATTTATTATTTTATTAAATTAAATTAATTTTATTATTTATTTTTATGTCAATTTATTTTAACTAAATCAATTCACGTAAAGAGTCTCTCACTGACCTCCTGACGACTTGCTATTGTGTGGCACACATATTGTCCAATGATGTATGTGCCATTATCATCTTCTCTCTCCCTCCCCCTCTCTCTCTTTAGGTCAGAAAAAAAGACCTGAAGAAATTACATCCCTCTAGCCTGGGTCTCTCCTCCCACGAACTCCCAGTCATATAAACAAATCCACACTGAAGAGTGGGACGTACATGTTTAGAAGGCCTCTCCAATTTTACATGTCCGTCCTGCTCTCAATCTGCCTCGACAGGACATGCTCGCTCTGCAGCGTTCCCATCTCACCTACCAGCAATTCCATTCTGTAAGTTTGCCAAGGCTTCGGGGAATCTTTCACTTCTCCGCTTTACAGCGTCCATTCACTTTACTCACAAGTCCTGTGGGCTCTACCTCCAAACCACACCCAGAAGTCAGCCTTTCTCATTGTTCCACTGATTCTGCCTTGGTGTGGACCGCCGGCACCTAATCCCCATGTAACTCCTGCAACCTCGTGTGTGGGTTCTGCGCTTCCACACAGAAGCATGTTCAGTCTATCTCAACAAACAGCTAGAGTGACTTTTTATTTTAAAGTAAGATCATGTTGCTCTTCTTGCATTAATATGCACACGCACATGCGCACACATGGATGCATGCACCTCCAGGGTGTTCCCACTGAAGTAAGAGCCAAGGTTCTTAGAGAAGCTCAAAGGTCCACAACCCTGGCCCGTATTGGTTGTCTGATTCCTATTCTCATGTTTTGCTCTCTCTGCTTTAGTCACACTGTTCCTCTTGCTTTTCATCAAAAAAGCTTCAAGCTTCCACTTACTGTTCTCATTTTCTGAAATGACTTTTCTTCAGATGTCAGCGTTACTCTTTCCCTTATAATCTTCCAGTCTTTTTTCAAATGTTGTCTTCTTGGTAAGATCTTTTCTGAGCACTCTACTTAAATGATGTCTCCCCTACCTTTCTACTTCTCAATTTCCTTCTAATATTTTTTCTCCATGACACTTGCTACCATTTTACACGCTTCTTTATTTTCACCTGTGTATTTATGTTGATCTGTAGCTACCTTCTCCCATCAGGACATAAGCTCTAGACTAAGGGTGGGGGATTTTGTCTGTTTGGTTTCCATTACCTATCATTTGGTGTTAGCTTAATAAATATTTGTTAATAAATATTTGAATGAATAGCTTAATAAGTCAAGAAATGTGCTTAGTGGTCAAAGCCAGCTTGTGATAGAACCCGTATCCGCATGGAATATTTGGAATGAGGGAGGACAGGCTGGAAGGAGAGGGTCTAAAAGAAAGGCCGATGAGAGAGCTACCTGTTCTACCTCCTTTTCCAGCATTAGTTAATGAATTGGCTTTAAAGGGTATTTTTTGGGGGCTTATGTAAATGCAACAGAAGATTTAAGTTGAGCAATGCTTGCTGAGGAGAGACTATTCAAGGGAAAAGAACACTCTAATGTGTGGGTATGTATGTGTGTGTGTTTACATAGCCTTTGGAACAGAGACTGCCATTCCCGCCATTCCCAATTCTTCTTACTGAACACAGAGAAAGATTACTTCATGGCTCCAATAGTTTGATGCCATGAGACGAAGTTCTTGCCAAAGAAATAAGAGAAGTGATATGTGCCACTTGCTGGTCTGGCCATGGAACCTCCCGAGTGAACAACCCATGTCTGTCTTCTCCTCACTCAGAAACCATAAAGGTCAAATCTTACAAATAACGGTGTCCCAACACTGGAGAAGCATACATCCTCACACTGCTACTTGGAGGGGAGCCACGTGAGCCTTCTCAAATCCTCGTCTCTGAGAGACAAACGTTTACTGTGCTAAGCACTGAAGGGGAGAAGTTGTTAGTGCAGCCAGCAATAATTACTCTGATGAATATATTCATAAACCCTATTGTAAATAATGCAAACATTTTAGGGGAAAATGTTCATATTCTAAGTGCTCCAAAAAAGTAACCTTTCCAAAAAGAACAACCAGCTTTGTATACAACTATGAAATTATTACTGAAGAATGTTTGCATAACATATCAATGCTATTATATAACATTTGCTGTAAAATACCAATATCCTGAAGGATAATCGGTGTAGTGCCATACAAAATAAAGGTCTCTGCATTATAACTAAAATGTTTTTGGGTCAAACACGAGGAAAGCCGTGCAAGCCAACATTTCCTTTGCAATGTCACTGCTTCTAAACAGTGTTCACTAAGAACACATACCCCATAAGCCCTTTTAGGAATGCTGGCAAATTTGAAAAGTTAGGAAGCTATTTGTTTCTTCGAAAGCTAAGCAATATATTGACCATGCTTTAACTAGGAGATAGTTTCTTTAACCAGACATTCCAGAAAGCGTAACTGTTCTAAGAAGAAAGAAGAGAGCTCTCTATTTTCTTGATTTACATATTGTATCTTCCACATATTCCAGATAGGATCTTCAAACAATTTGAAAATGCCATAGAAAAGCATATACTTGAATTTTTTTCTCTTTCCATAACATTCATAGCAGGAAAAATGACATAAATTTTGAGATTTATAACTAGCATATCAGTGAGAGTAATCCTTCTTATTCAGAGAGAAGAAATCAGCATTACAGACTGTTTTAAGCATGCACTAATCTCCAGAACATCTGAGGTGAGCATTTTTCCTCACCACAGGGTACCCATTTACAGAGACTCAAAATCTCCATTGTACCCTTACCCTCAGATTCCACAGGAACACTTCCCAATAAAATCAAAGTAAGCAGGATAGATAAGTAAACCTGAAATCTCTTAGAACAAGTTATGTTTGGCTTTAAAATCTTGACATTATATAATGACACTAGAAAGCACAAAAATGGCTGCCAGACACCCCCACCCCCTTCAGAAAAAAACTAATAAAGAACAAATACTTCTTTTTCCAACGAAGCCTCATTCTGTCCTATGATGCTAAGTCCAAGAGACAGAGATGAAAGCTAAGGAATGGGTCACAGCTTCTCAAAGCCTAAGGCACATTAGATGCATCCATGAAGATTTATAAATACCCATAGCTGCTTTCCATCCCAGAACAATTACATCAGAATCTCTGGGACACATTTTAAGCCCTCCCCAGAAGGTCTGATGTGCAGCCTAGCTAGAGTCATCCTCTTGGTGTTTAGTAGAACTATATAAAGATAAAGTTTGTGTGCTTTTAGGAAATAGAGCTAAGAAGAAGGAACAAATTTACATTTGGGTCCAGGGTTATATACTAAGTATAATATATCTTTCATATTTCTTAGAATAAAACTTCAGAATAAATATGTTTATGCCTATTTTTCTTTTTGGTATGTGTCCCTAGTGGGAACCGAACCCGGGACTCTCTGGTCTGCAGGCGGATGCTCCAACCGCTGAGCCAAACCAGCCAGGGCTATGCCTATTTTTAAATATATGAGAATTAAGTTGCCTATATGGGCAATACTTCCTGCTCTGCAGAGCTCATGAATTACTTTTTATAGAAAAGGACCATTTCACTGTGTTTCTTTAAACTAGTAGTGGTTAAGCAAATACTCAAAGATGGATGTTGTACATAAATAAGAGGGTTAAAATAGATCAGCAAACTCTGGACCATTGGACAGATTCAGCTGCTGCCTGTTTTGTCAATAAAGTTTTATTGGAAATCAGTCACACTCATTCGGTAACTTTTTTCTTTGGCTGCATTGGCACATCAATGGCAGTGTTGAGTAGTTGTATGGCCTTCTAAAGCCAAAAACATTTATAGTCTGGATTTTTCATGCTTTAAGCCCTGAAATTCACAAAACTAAAAAACAACTCAATTTGCAAATCACAGTCTTTTTCAGAAGTAAAATAACATCTAAAACAGCTTAATTTGATACTGAAAATGTTACAACGACATAATTTTGCACATGCTACTGATGTTTTTTCCCCCTGAGCTTATAGAGGAATATTTACTAAAAAAGCATTCATGGGTAATGCCAGAATGGCAGAAAAATCGGCATTGGAAGTAGCAGGGCATCTACTTCTTTGGGCGTGGTAACATTTAAGAAATGCCAGGTTATTAAAAACAAGGGCATTTTATTTAAACAAGCTCACATGGCCAGGCTTTCTGCCTGGCTGTATGCTGAGGGGGTGCTCGATCTACCACAGCGACTCGACCCTAAACCAGTGATGGCGCAGAGCGTGGCTCTGCAGCAGGGACATGAGAGAAGGAATCACACCTACCGTCTGCCATCCCCTCCCTCCGATGAGGCAGCGCTGGTTGTTGGTCCATCCGCCCTCCCTTGTGTTTTTTAGTCGGCCGAGGCCTCTGACTTTGACTCAGGGCTGCACTGGTGTTACTGTCAGTAGAAAATGGGCTGGTGGGTCGAGGTCTTTGAGAGGAGGCAAAGGCTTTGCCTAAAATAAACAAATACAAAAACAAAGGGAATGGGACACAGAGCATGTTATTTGAAGACGCTGATTCTGTCTGTCTTGTGTTTCTGCTCTTTCTAACCTGTGAACCTGCCTTGAGATGCCATTTGAAGATTCAGACACTGGTGCATCCCACAGGGAAATGTATACCCTGCTACCCTTGTCCAGTTTCCCATACCAGCACCCCACCCGCCGAAAAAATGAAAACGTGAATATAACACAAATCCGCCATCCCAAAACTCAATGTTACGTAATTACATTTTATTTAACCTCGATAATCTTAGTAATATTTTCATAGCTATTTGCAAATTCATGCAGCTTTTACTTCTTATAATTAAAGAAGCTGTTTCTAAAATAAATTATGTACTTTCCTATTTGTTCAATCAAATTTCACCCTTGGAGTCCCACAAACTCTTTGCGTACAGAAAAATGTCCTATAGTAATCACATTTGAAATTTTATACGAAAGGTCTGCTCAGATATATATTAAACTGACCTTCCCATCCATACACATGCACGATGAATTGTTCCCTTTTAGCAGAAACTCAATAACATTAGTGTATAGTATAGGATAAATAGCAGGTTAAAACCAACTTGTATATCCAAAGTGCAATAGGTGTTTTCTGATGAGTAATAATGTATCTGAGCTGGCTTCAAATTCTCACTGAAAAGTGAAATGTGTATGTCCTTTTCTTGTGGCTTAGTGTACAAGTGTAGGAAAATTCATTCTGGGTCAAGTTAGTGAATAAATTTGCAACATCTTTTACTTTTAATATCATGTTTATTATGGTAAGAGAGGTTGGTTTATGTGCATGTTTTCATTTTATACAAAATTATTGTATGAAATTTAGTTACATTTTCTTAAGTCAGTGTGACATAATATCACCTGTTTTATTAGCTATTAGCATACATGCAAGAAATGCACTTACTCCTTCTAATTTATTAGTTTCCTTGCACTTTCTCACAGTTTTGTTTATAGCTATGCCACAAAAAACACTCAGACAACATACAGTTTCTGACTTGAAGCCTTATAAAGCAAGGAGCTTCAAATAACCATCACATTACAACACATTTTCCAGATGCTTTATAAAAAATAAACCTCTGCACTGCTTGGAAAATCTTTTTATTTCATTTGAAGATACCTAATGTGCACTCAAAGAAAATATTGACCATTTATTTTAAAGAAAATTTCCAAGACTCATTTTTATAACCTGAGAGTTTAGTGAAAGGTCAACATCATTTTTACTTTATTATTTGGGCATTATTAAAATTTCAAAAATGGATTTACAATTCCATTAATTTTTTCTAAGGTAACTAAGTTCAATTCCTATATTAGAACCGTATTATACATGCATTTAAGAAGTGTAGTCATACAACAACATGCATCATGTCAAAGATATTTTGTTTCAGTGAAACAAATGACAAATTACTGATCTGTTATTACAGGGAATCCCACATTTATTTGAGGGAATGATCAGACACATGAAAAAATAATTGGTCTTTTATCTTATTACTCATTATTCTCAAAAATTAGAGTATGTTAAAGACTAACACATATGTAGTCATCACTTTTTTCAACTTTCAAATGCAGTGGGTGTATCTTATATTAGCATCCTTTAAAACAAATATGTTATTGGATTAATATTTTAACAGCAAATAACTAATAATACCATCAAGCCATTTGAATTGTTAGACGAACAGCCTTAGACCCATTCACCCCATGCTGAGAAAGCCTTCCCAGAAAATGCATTTGCAGAAAGAAATGAGGCAAAGGAAAGTGATGAAGATAAAAGCTGAATAATCTTAATCACTGGGCACATTATTGATTCTGTGAGAATTTTGCAAAGTGTGAGTTATTGAAAATGTAATGACAATCTTAGTTGCAGCCTTGCTGTAATATAGAAAGGAAGACTATTCCAATTAATCAGCAGGACCGTGAAGGGAAAGGGACATAGGAGGGAAAGTGTTAAGTAGGAGCCTATTCTTGGCTCTGCAAACTGACATCGGGAGAGTCCTGGCAGTGCAGCACCCCAACTGCGGTCATGCATGGAAAGCGATGCCTTCGATCACAGGAGGAAGGACGGAAGAAAAGTGGCTCAGGATCCAAAGGACAAGATTCTCTCATGCAAAGAGCGGTGACTGGGTCAGTCCACCGCCGAGGGCCCGCGGTCCCTGGCGCAGCCGGAGCCCCGCGGAGCCCCTGCACTACTCTACGACCAGGAAAGCTGGGTCCTCATCAGAGGCAGAGCCCCCCCGCTCCCGCTGACCCTGGAAACACGTGCGGCTGTCTAGGGGGCTGGGGTGTGGGAGGGCTCCTCTGTTCCTGCACATTATGCTCCTGAACAAGCGGCGGCCTCCCGGCCTCGGGCTTCCTCGGGAAAGCAGTGTCACACGACTTCGGGGCCCACGCAGGCCGCGCCGCTGTCACCTGCCGGGACAAGGAGGCCCCTTTGAAACCCGCGTCTGTTTGCAGCACGTGAACACGCTCCACGTGGCCCCACTGTCGCACTGTTAGACGTAGGACGTGATCGCTTTCCGAAAGAGAATTGCTATAGATACTTTAAATCTACAATTCAGAGAAGGGCACTTTTGCTGAACTAAATTATAGTGTATTTGAAGTGAACATATCAAGGACTCAGTTGAAGAAATAGTGTAAATGTATTTTGAATTTAATGCACACTCTGAGAAAGTGCCTGAAATCTGCTCTGACACTGGAGAAGGTCCAGAATTATTTGAAGATTTTAAAGTAAAAAATTAATTACATGGGAAATAACAGCAAACATTCATATACAAAAAGTGTATAAATAACATCAGAGCAAACAGACTTAGAACATAAGAAAAATGTATCTTTGAAAAGTTCTATTAATTTCAAAGCTCTCAGTATGCTTTCTTTGCTTTTTAATTAAGAACTTCAGTTTTCTCCTTAATACTAATTTTTATTTTAGAAAGTTAATCATTACGAATAATATCAGTGGAATTAATGGCTTTTCCCTCAAAATACATCACGGCAACAGGGAAAAAGTCAGCTTTATGTGTAAAGAGCTGCAGAATACGAAGATACTGAGAAATACTTTTATTCTCAATTTTTCATCAAGTCATTTGCAATTTTATATATGTTTCTTAGACTAAGCATACTGAGACCTGAATCTATTTCATAACACAATTAATATTACATTGTTTATTTCGGTGGGTATACCATTAATTTATAAAACAATGAAATATCAAATGTTGCTTATTCTAATTATTTTTAAAGAAAGAGAAGAATAAATATTTCTGAAAAGTTAACTTAGGTTTCTAAATAAGCCAAACACATATTTACATTCAAGAGATTAAAGGGCCATAGATTTTTCTGCTTTTCTCCAACATCTCAGAGACAAAAGTATAGTTCGAGTGTCGCCGTGAAGCATTTGTACTTTTAGCCAAGGTGCCGGGATATAATAACACGGGTTCATGCACTTTTGAGACCGAGAAAACAGAAACCGAAGGGGTTAGAAGGATCTGAGAAGTTAAAAGGGTGTTAAGTGTAGCAGAAAAAGATGGAGTTTTGATTCTATTTGCCAAAAGCACAGAGATACACTTTATTTTCAAAACAAATTCCCTTGACACAGGCCACTGAAAGGAAGCCGAGATAACACGGGCAGCTGCACCTCCTCTGAGAGAGCCATTTCCCAGTTAATAACCACAAGTCAGGGACCAGCAGCCCGAAATGGAAGGAGAAATGATGCAATAGGCTTTGCAATTTAATGTCACAGTAGATAAGAAGAAAAATCAAAGTGATTCAGTCAGTGATCGCAAAAGAATATGAAACCCTGAGGATCCTTTTGAAACCTGTGGAGGCTCAGACCGGTCCCTCTATTCTGTTTTCTGTTTCTAAATGTCTACTCAACATCTGCAAACACATCTGTGTCAGCTATTCGAAACCCACTCTCCAAACAACATCTCCTCTGCTACATCTGCAAATTCAACTGATTTCCTTCTAGTCACTCTATCTTCTTCATTGTCATCTGAATTAATTTTCTGAAACATTTACCACCTAAATGTGTCCCTCTGTTCAAAGCCTTACCCAAGTTTGCCAATGCCACACCCACCCACCGAATGAGGTGTTGGGGGTCCTACGGCGTCCAGCCCAGCCTACCGTTCCGCCCCATTTCCTCCTCCAGCCGTGCAGTCCTGCTGCCTCACCTATATACCGTCACTCACGCACCTCTGGATTGTGACTGAGTCAATCAGCCACTGCCAAACTAAAGTCCCAATCAATGCCATCCCTGTTATCACCGATTCCACCTCTCCTTCAACCCTGTCTGGAGGAGAATTGATCTCTCTGCCTCCTGTGTCTCTCACACAGTATTCAGACAGTAGCACGTTAGGTCTCTACAAACCACAGGTTGTTGCATATGTATGTTTCTTCTTCTAGACAATGTCTTGGGTTCATTTTCATACCTTTTGTGTAGAAACACCGCTCAGTAGAAATTTCAATAAACATCGAGAATATTAAAGTAAGTATCTTCAACATTTTCAATATTCACTATAAATTCTATATACAATTCTATTCCTAGCAGTGACCTTACTTTAGTGACAGAAAGAATGTGCTTATAACAACTCCTAGAAAACATTAAATAAGGAATATATTGTTAGTCAACTCTTGTTGATTACTTGGACAATGGAGAAAGTAGTGATGTAATTACCCAAAAGAAGAAGCTAAAAAATTAATTTACATATATCTGGACCATGCTTTGATAAGTTGAATATTGATATTTATCAGCATCCTATTCAAATTAAGACAATGATGGAACCTACTTTTTCTTCTGACCTTTCCATCCATTCTCACTCAACTTAGAAAGCCCTCTCCCTCTTTAAAATTGCCCTTTCTGCAACTAAGGAAAGGGTGGGTCTGTTTTTGTGTTTGTTTTTTTTAATTTGCAATCTTTTTGGTCTACTCAAGTTGGTTTCCTGTGTAGTTCTATTCCAAAGATTTAGGATTTTGAC